CCTGAGCACAAATTGTCAAATAATAAGCATATCTGGATGATTCTTTACTTGGAGATGTAGCCACCTTTTTTTCTGCATCAGAGTAAGGAGCCTGCTGTCCATTGAAGATGTCACGTTTTCAATTTCAGCAGGTTTAATGTTTTTTGCAGCCTTTACAATAGCTTCCCACAACTTATCCTTTGATGAGAACTGTTTTCCATTTTCAAAAACCCTTCTTTTCAGGATCGACCACAGATTTTCTATGCAGTTTAAATCGGGTGAGGATGCTGGCCAGTCCATTATCTTGTCCTGTAAGTAGCCCTTTGATGCCAGCCATTCAGCAGTAAACTTGGATGCATGACTTGGAGCATTATCATGCATGAACATCATTTTCTTGAGCTGCGCAGCCTAGGAATTTGCAGTAATTTGCCGAATCCATTTTCACTCCTTCTGCAACCCGGAAAGGGCCAATGAGTTCATTTTTTATGATGCCCGCCCATATCATAACACCTCCACCACCTTGCTGACGCCTCAACCTGGGTGGAGCACCGGTACCTTCAGCTATCCAACCTTTAGCCCAACCGTCCGGACCATCAAAGGTGGCACGCATCTCATCAGTCCAGATAACTTGCCCAAAATCCAATTTCATATACTTCTTACACCATGCCAGTCTTTTGTCCTTATGTTTTTGATTAAGTGGAGGCCTTGTTTTCACTTTTTGGACCTTACCAAGTGTTTTCAGAACACTATTCCTTGAGCTCTTTGGGGTGTGGCCTAGACCAACAGCAGAAAAGATGCTTGCACTGGAACTCAAAGGCTATTTTGATAATTTTCTCTCTTTAAAGCTGACAAATCTCAAGCTGTTAGCTTCCTCCTTGGAGCCTCCTCATGTTTTTTTCTTGTTTTTTCACCATTGGAAACAAAGGCCTTGATTGTCCTATGGTCTCGGTCCAATAATCTTGCCATTTCAATCGTTGGTCGCCCCTCTCCCAAAAATTTCACAATAGAAGCCTTCTCCTTACTACTGAGGTCCTTCTTCTTTCCCATCTTTAGTGCTTATGGTCATAGAACACAGAATACTCCCCTTTATATATGCCTGCATAATAATTTGGTTCACAGCATATTCAAATTTTAACAAATTTTTACTCAATATGTAAATGCTTCAAATATTTTATGCTTTTGGTTAATCAACTGCCCTATCAGGCATGAAATAATACCACTTTTTCGTTAGTGGAACATATCTGAATCAAGAAATTATAAAAAAAAAACTGACTTGCATAATAATTTGGGTCACAGTGTAGAGTGGTTACAGTTTATATGTCGTAAAGTTGAATTTATTTATGCAGATTAGTAGTGCAGATAGTAATAATAATGATGATCATTTTAATATAAAAACGTTAATCATCAAATTTCGTTAGAAATTTCATCCTTAACTCAAACCATGAAAAAAGTGCGACTTATAGTCCGAAAAATACAGTATTTCAAATCAATTCAATACGGTTAAAAAATAAAAATAAAGGTTAAATCTTGGCTGTGATACTAAAAGTCTTTGTTAAACCACTTCTTGTGCAAAGTTCATATGAAACACAAACATTTTAATCATCAAAACAGTGAAAATGTCAAATGTGTTGCATAAACGATTTTCCTTCCTCTAAACAAGCAACCAAACTATAACGCTGCAACAAAATAACTTGGACTAATGCATTATTAATGAAACAACTATAGGCTTCAGTATTATCTGAGCTTTTTTGATGAGAGCACCGTCTCCACTGTGTAGGAGCACTGAGTGTTCATCTAAAGTCTCATCTGTCACCAGGCCTGTCATCACATCACATTTTTAAGCACAATATAGCTGCTAGATATTCTGTGATACTGACAGAATAACAATAATGCGAGATAATACCAGTGAACCATTTTTAAACAGACAGTATCATCAAGAGCCATGAGCTGACACAAATAATAATAGAATGAACCAATATTTATCCATAGAGGTCACACTCAACCTTTTACAGATCAAATCTTATCATATCACAACAAAAATAACCCAGTTTACTAAGAAACTGTACACACGATAAACACTGAGCTCCAAAATATATAGTTTCAGCTTTTATATATTGCACGTTAAGCCGATATAATAATTATCGTGACCTAAGTGACACCCAACTCAAGACATTTATGGAGTTAATATGAGATTCAGGAGCAGGAAACCACACCTCAGCCTCCCCCGCTCCTGCTCCTCTTCACAGAATCACAGCTCAGCTCCGATTACCCAGAAGCCCTATTTATACAAGTATGTCCCATCAACAGTCTTCCACGTTCTCTAACCCTCCCTCCTCGTGTCTCTTGTTCATCTTTCAGCCTGAAGACCTCATCATCTACTCCACAAAATGTAGATAGACCATTAATGCATGTGTGAATGAAATAAAACACAACTCCTCCAGGTAAGTTTTTGAGGAGATAACAACACTATAACACAACTTTAATCTCAAAAGAGTCATTCTTTTTGTAATATAGGATCTTTAAAGTGTATTCAGACAGAGACTTAAACACTGATAGAGGAGTGCACATACTGAAACTTGTGATTACAGAGTTTTGTTTTGTTTTGTTTTTTTATGTTCTTGGAGACAAAGCTAAAATAATAAAAGGCAGTTAGCGTAGTCCTGATCAGGTTTCTACACAGGTGCTTGTTATGACAACTAAACCAAAATTTGGCTTTAGCTCGCTTCTTGGAATACCTCCCATGTCACTGGAAGGAGCAGTGGTGGAAGGTAACGAAGTACAAAAGTACAATAAGTGAGTGCAATTTATAGGTGTCTGTACTTTACTTAAGTGCATTTTACAGTGGATACTTTTACTTTTACTTCACTATGTTGGGAGCAGATATCTGTACTTTATTTTAGATCTGGACTGAAAAGTAAAAAGTACTTTTCTTTATGGTGCAGGGGTTTATTTTAGCACATTTCATTTGAGTTCCAACTTTGAAAAAAACCCCACAAAAACACAAAGAAAAACACAAAGAAAATGTAAGAAATCAATTGACTTAATATCAGCTAAAGTCTTTATCAAAATCACTACTTTTCATGCTTTAATTGTTCAAAAAAATCTCTACAAAATACATTTTTGTTTTACTCTTAAAGTGCATTTTTAAACAGGTATGTCAGTAATTTTACTCAAATAGATTTTTTTATGTGATACCTTTACTTTAGTAATATTTTGCCCCTGTATCTGTACTTTTACTTTAAAGGTGCACTGTGTAACTTTCAGGGAGGAGGGTCTGCCACCTGCTTGTCCCTGTGATGATGTTATTGCTTTGTTTGGAATAGGGATGGGCATGATTAGTAGACTAATTGATAACTGATCATTAAGAATGTCGTCAATTACATTCATTTCTGTGCGAAGATACGAAGCTGCGTCTGACAGCATAAACACTGGAGTTGCAGCCTCACAGTCCCACATTTTGGCTCTGGCACCTCCTTAGAGATCACAGTACCACTCAGTGAGTGCGTTTACATGCACATCAGTGTCCCGATAACGTCATGGTGCATGTATACGTAGTTTCCTGGTTACTGCAACATAAAGAACTGTGCTAAACCTGCACACGTCTGATCTCTGAAAACATGAACCATCTCCAACGCGACACACACACAGAACACACTCACCACCATCATCATCATCAACATCCCTCTGTCACAGAGAGAACACTCATATTCCACTGAGTCGTGTCCTTTAGTCCGACAGAAGCTGAACCACATCAGCGCACAAGAGCTGTTTTTTTTTTTTTCTCTGCTTAGTTTATGCAAATTAGCCATGCGATCTATCTAAATCTATCTCCATTTGATCTGATTAATGTTAATGTTTAGACTTAATATAAGTCAAACTAATTGTGCTGCGCTTAAACACTCAGTGCCCCCTTTTTGGACCCTCACCTACAGTTTAAGAACCTCTTCTTTAATCCCGCTTCCACTGGCACTTTACAACAACTTCAAAGTGAATCAAGTGGGTTTTTTCAAGTTCATAACATTTACAGTTACCTTATTTTACTGATTTTGCAGTGATACTTAGCCACCTCTGCACATTTACGGGCCTTAGTGAAATATGATCCAAATGTGCTAGAGTCCGAGATGAGACCAAGACTGTAAAAAAGCCCTGTCTCATGTACTACGACACAACATTTAAAGCCATACTCTGGAATATTTCATGTAAAGCAATATTATCTCCAAAGCGTCAAAGTTTGGATATATTGAAACATGAGACTTGTGCAAAGCTGCATTAAACATTATAATGTCAAACGGTCTCTATAGTGGTTATGGTTTATCTGTTGTAAAGTTGAGTTTATTTATGCAGATTAGTAATAATAATGATGATCATTTTAATATAAAAACGTTAATGATTAATTGAAAATCGATCGTTAATTCTCCCAAAGATCGATTAATAAAATTATATCGAATGCCCATCTGGAATATTCTACAGTATGGCATTAAATGTATTCATGTTGTGTTCAGTCAATTGAAGTTGTTTTTATAGCTCAAAAATACCTTGAAATACATGCATTCTTACTGTGAGTGCATGAGGTCACCACTCCATAGATCTGACCTGTCTAATACCATATTGTGGCACACTCCAGGCAAAGCAATAACATCTCCATGGAGACAAGTAGTGAGCGGAAAAAAGTTACGCAGTGCACCTTTACGTAACAAAATGGAGTATATTATTCAACACTGTGGCCGCGTCTCATTTCTCTTTCCTCGCTTCCTTCTCCTTGATTCCTCTCCTCGACCCTTCATTTTTCAGCTGTCAATCAAATGTGTCATATAAAGTGAAGAAAACCACAAAAGGAAGGAGTAAACCTGAGGGAGGCTTCATTAGGCAGAAATCAGATAAAAGAATAAAACTTTATTGGTTTCAGTGAGGAGTTTAGATCCTCTCTCCTCCCTGTGTGTCCTTCCTGCATAAATCGAGGAGAGGAATCAAAGAGAAGGAAGCGAGACATGGCCTGAAAGGAGATGATAAAGATGGCGTACCCTCCGTTGAGCGTTGGGGTGAGTCCAAACAGCGTGCAGAGCCCCACGGACATGAGCAGAGAGCTGAGCACCGTCACCACAGCAGCCAGGGCCAGACCCCACTTAGACTTCACCATGTCAATCTTACCTGCAGGAAAACACATGAGACAAAACAAATGTCAAAGCTTTTACCCTCATCTCATGGTATAATATTTAGAACAATATTTAGGAAAGTTAAACAGAATTGCAACTACGCTACTTTTAAAGGGCCCATATTACACTATTTTCTGATCTACCGTATTTTTCGGATTATAAGTCACTTTTTTCAAGGTTTGGGTGTTTCCTGCAACTTATACGTTAAAATTTTCAGACTGACAGCTGGGAGAGGGCGCTCTAGGCTTGTGTGTCAGTATCTAGTACTACTATTACTCCTGTACCATTGTCACTTCGCTCTACTGCGCCTGTCTCCTGTAGAAAGAGCCACTGTAAACAGTGAAACATGCAGCCAAAAACGGTAATCGAGCAGCAGAAAGAAAGTTTGGAGTGAGCGAGAAACTTGTGATTGGCTGGTGGAAAGTGGATGGAGACCACAGCATCACGGTAACCGGGTGGGTGCAAGTTTCCTGGAAGTCACCAGATGAATCGACAAAGCCTGAATTTCAATGACAATTGAAACCATCCTGTCGGGATTCAGAAAGGCCGGAATAATTCTAACTGGAACTGATGCTGAGTCTGACGACAGCTACACAGAAGAGGAAGCGGTGCTCTGTTTACATCATGGATCTATGGTTTATCTCCGGAGGTCGTGCAGAAGTGACACCGAGGAAAAAGAATTCAATAGATTTAGTGATTTGGAGTGAGACCGTGAGTTCGGTAAACTTATGTTATATTGTTTATGCTATAATTATCTGAATAACTGTTAATATGTTATGTTGACATATTAACGCCTATTCAGTCTGTTGTTCTCTATTCTGTTGTTGTTACTAGAAGTTGCCTTTCACGATGAAATGTCGGTTCCTGGTCTCTGATTTTACAAAATACATTTCCCCAAAAAGTGCGACTTACAGTCCAGTGCGACTTATATATGTTTTTTCTTCTTCATTGCGCATTTTTGGCTGGTCCGACTTATACTCTGGAGCCACTTAGTCGAGAAAATACGGTATGTTATAATGCAATTTCCTCATCACAAGCAGACCTGGAGTTGTGTTTTGTTTCATTCACACATGTTTAACACACTAACCCTGCATATTTAGACAGAAAACACTCTATTCTACCTTGTGATATCATGTGGTAAGGAAGTGCTCCACTGTGTATTTAAACTCTGCACACCTTTACTACTCAACTCAACTCAATTTCTAGAGCACTTTAAAAACAACACAGTCGCCGAAAGCGCTGTACATAAATTAGATAGGATACAACAAACAGCGACAAATACAGTGACAGGTAAATATTGATCCTCAAAAGTTAAAAGCCAAGGAGAAAAAGTGAGTCTTTAAGAGGGACTTCAAAACAGGCAGTGAATTGATCAGCCTGATGTGCAGAGGGAGCAGATTCCACAGCCTCAGAACAGCCACTGCAAAAGCACGATCTCCTCTGTTTTCTCCTGAACCTTGGGACATGGAAAAGAGCCTAATCTGCTAGAATCATTTGGATACTTTCAGCCCTGGAATGGTCAGTCTCTACTGAACTAAAAGTAAAAGGAGCAGTTCATTTGAAAACTATAACAACGTGACATCACAAGGTGGAACTGAGCATTTAGAGTTTAGGAATGTAGAGAAAATAATAATACAGGGTAACCCAAACATATGTGAATGAAACAAAACACAACTCCAGGTCTGTTTTTGAGGAGGTAGCAACATTCTAACATGGCTTAGAGCTCACAAGTCAAGTTTTGCGTAATACAAGACCTTTAAATGTCAAGTCATATTAGATAATCATAAGAATTAAAGAGGGGGTGTCCAATAGCTACTGCCTTCTCTGTGCTTTATTGATACTTTGCAGCTTATGTCAACATTTTCTAGGGATGTGGTGCTTTATATGAGGTTTATTTTAATACACTCTGACCAGAAAGGACTGATTTAGCTGAACTACAATAGTTCAATTACATTTTTTTTACTTGTTTTCTATTTTATTTTGACTTGTACATTTACATTTATATAATTATGCCTTATTTAACACCTATCTCTTGCTATTTTGCTGTACATATTTTTTACTCTGTTATTATAATATATTGTGATGTGTGATCTATCAAATAATTTCCTTTTTGGATCACTAAAGTTTGTCTAAGTCTAAGTCTAACAGATGAACTGATTTGTCCTCTAAAATAAGTATTTCACGCATAAAATTAGTCAAAAGCTAGATAACATTAGCCAACAGTTTTTCAGTTAGGAGTTGAAAATCAAACTCCTAAACAGGATCATGAAAGCTCGCACTGATCACAGGCTCCTGAAAATGTGCTGTTTAAAACCATTTTGTAGCTCTTCTTGAATCTTAAAACTTTTTTGACAGCAATACATGCATCACAAATTTTGGACTTCCGGTTAGAGCCCGGCCGATATCTCGGTTGGCCGATATTAGCAACTGGAACCATATCGGCTATCGGCCGATATGCTTGCTGATAGGGGCCGATATTTCACGTGGGCATGTTATACCTCGTTATAAATCTTAGAGTCTGTACATTATGTTCATTTAATCCAATTTACAGATAGATAAATGTCCAAATATGTGGCTCTGCATCAGTATTTATCTGGAGTCATTTGTCTGTGTCTGTGTCCGTACTGTCCCTGAACACACCCCCAGAGTCGCGTGTGTTTGTTTACACCCGCAGCCGTGCTCAACACTGAGATTATTTTCTTTTTACGGACAATCGGTTTGTGTCTGGATTAAAAGGACATTTATTAGTACAAACTTGTGATGTGAGGAGGAGCCTGTGTGAGCGGTGAGTGTTTCAAAATGTGTCGACTTTGAAGCTAGTTTTGGTTTGTTCTGATATGTTAGCAATTAGCTGCTGTAGCTTCCGCACATAAACAGTCTGTTTTCTATTGGTCTATTGTAAAGTGATTATATTGGCCGTATATTTGATACTGGACCTGCATTGATGTGTAAATGAGCTGTGAATAGACGTGTGAATGACGATACTTGCATATATAATTAATTACCGCGGCGCGCAGCATTTACGGCTAAAGGCTAATAGCGATTGTTTATTTACTAGCTTGTAGTGATGGGTCGGTCGCGTACGAAGCGGCTCTTAGAGTCGGCTCTTTGAAGCGAACGACGGGAGCCTGATCCTTATTGGGATTGGGAGTCGTGTTTTCTCTTTCGCTCACTTTTTTTCTCTTCACGCCGCGTGCAGACTCTTGGTAGTTTGACAGCGGCAGCGACTAAAAACAAAACTTTCAAAAATATATGCATATATATATTCAGCATAAATAAATACACCAGGACTAATCTTGGGGTCGAGAGAGGGAGAGAGATAGAGACCGAGTCCCGACACAGTCCTGGTTCAGTTCTGGTTTAGTCCTGCTTTAGACCTGCCTTAGACCTGCTTTAGTCCTATGACAAATCATGTAAAGAGGCAGAATAACAATAAATGTTGCTTAAATAAACCCAGTTTAAAATCCACCAGAGCCAAACCTAAGGTTTTTTTTTAATAATTCAAGATTTACAGTGAATTTTTACATCACTAAATATATCGGTGATTATATCGGCTATCGGCAGCTCCAACTACCATTATATCGGTTTCATATCGGCCACAACAAAATCCATATCGGTCGGGTTCTACTTCCGGTCATTGCGCAATGCATACTGAGAAAGATTTTCCGAAAAAGTGAGCACCAATCCGCCATGTTTGTTTTCCCAGTGGGATGTGTCTATTGACAAAGCCGATCTTTTTAAGTCTTTTGAACCATATCACTTTTGTTTCTGATGGGCTTTGGAAGTTTGAGAACTCCATAAATGCAAAAGGGAATCAGATGTGTGTGACTGCAAACCTCTGTTCAAACTGTTTCCCTTCCCAACGGAATTGAAAAATAGTGAAAGGTGAAGGCGATGGGCAGGATTGATCCACAGGAAGGACCAAAAAGGTAAAAATCATCCCAAGTTTGCAGCAACCATTTTGTATGTGGAGCACCATCAAAGTGAGATCCTGTTTGTTAAGCGAGAGGTACAGAAGACAAACAGACTGAGCTGCACTTTCTTGTTCTTGTGGTTTTACAGCAGCATCACGTCTTGGTCTCTTTGCAGTGGAAGGTGTTTCTTGGTGAACAGCTGGTGCCTTTCGCTTTGGTGTTGACTTTTTAATTTCATAACCAAGGTTGAACGTTTCACATACAAAATGTTCGCTGCAAACTCGGGATGATTTTCTTAGGCAGTCAAAGGTTACCTTCGCCTTTCACTATTTTTCAATTCCATTGGGAAGGCAAACAGTTTGAACGAAGGTTTGCAGTCACACACATCTGGTTCCCTTTTGCATTTATGGAGTTCGCAAATGTCCGAAGCCCATTTCTCAAGCCGTTTTCCGCTGTTAGGATCCAACAACCACACAATTACAATGTCCGAATCCCAAAACTAAAATATGACAATATCAGAACCAGAAACAAAAGTGATATGGTTCAAAAGACTTGAAAAGACTGGCTTTGTCAATAGCATCCCACTGGGAAAACAAACATGGAGGTTTGATGCTCACTTTTTCAGAAAGTACTTCCCAGTATGAATTGTGCAATGACCGGAAGTCCGAAATTCATGATGCATGTATTGCTAATGTCTGCACTGTATCTCCATAGTAATTGCTGAACAGTCCGCCAATAAACATACATGTAGAACACCCCCAGTGTGATATCACTGTAAAGCATCAACTGAACTCCAGAGAGAAGCGTGGCGAGAGGTGGACTCACGTGTGGAGAAGTAGATGTATGCGAACAGGATGATGTACGTGGTGACCAGTGGTATGAGCTCGGCGACGCCTATCTCCTCTTTGAAGTGCACGTGGACCATGTGATCGTCACGCAGGCTGCAGTTGGCCGACGGGTACAGCTGCTTCAGGCGGGAGCGCAGGCTGTTCATGAAACTGGGGACAAAGGGTTACAGTTGGTCACATTTTTATATGTTGCACTTTTCCATCTTCAATGCACTCACAGCTTTATATCAAGCAACCACTCACTCACTCACATCATAGATTATAGTCTGGACATTACGGTACAAACTACTACTTTTTTCTCACACTTTGAACCCTGCAGCTTAAACAACAATGCGGCAAATATATGGACGGATTATTTGTTTATGAACACAGCAGATGTGCACGCAGCCTGAGTGCAGAAAGCGCTGCCGTCTGAGCAGTTAACATGAAGTTGCAACACAAGCTACTGATGTTGTCAGCACTAAAACAGTTTATCTCCATGCAATAAAATAAGTTATGATGCTATATTAACATTAGTGAGGGAGTGTGAATGTGTTAAATCACAGGTTTGACTGCCCAAAAATGTAAGATTTTTAAAGACCTTTAAAGAGCACTTAAATGAAAACTAAGACCAACACCGCACCCATTATGTGGGCAAAAAACACCAGATCCAGTTCTAATAATGACCAAACACCGACTAAATCTAGAATCTAAGAGCCTCTGTGGATTAAACCGACACTTCCCCATGATCCACCGTCTTCCTCCACTCTACTGACTCTGGTTTCTGGCGCCTGCAGAAGTAAAGTATTGTTTGTGCAAACTTCAAATTAGACGTTCATTCACGTTACAAGATTTCATGTTTGTTTTTTGTTTTTTTTATCTGTTTAACATTGCACTGCAGCCCGGTTGAGTGTCCAAAAAAAAAAAAAAAAAAAAAAAAAAAAAAAAGGCTAATGAAATTTAAGACCTTTGTGAAAAAAATAAGACTTGAGCAACATAATTTAATACTTTTTAAGGCCTTAATTTAGGAACATAAAATTTAAGACCTTTTTAAAACCCTGCGGCTGCCCTGTTAATGTAGGAGAGTGTGGAAATGATGAGAAGAAATGTCTCAAACTTAGCCGGACATCCACTCAAACCTGATCCATACACCTATGCCCACCCCCAGGAGAGCCTGAAATCTGCTGAAATCCTACAAGACACTGACATGATACCAGACAGGACACAGGCTCTTTCTGCAGGAGACATGAGCAGTAGAGCGCGAGATGACGGGGGTGCAAGAGCGAGAGACAGACAGGTGGAAGAGATGATGCAGTGAAGAAGATGCAGTTTGATTGTGTTTTGAACAGTTATTTTGCTCTTCATACACAAACCCTCGTCATGGGAAACACACGAAGAAATGTAGATGCTGCAGCTTTTAAGTTAAACCCGATTGATGTGGCTGCCGAAGAAGGAAATCGAGCTGCTGCACGTGAGCTCGGCATCAGTGAGTCGATAGTGAGACGTTGGCGACGGCAAAAGCTTTCAGAGGCGATAAAAATCAGACGGCCCCAACTTGAAAACGTGAAAACACCTGGGGCTTATAGACACATGCAGCCTATATATGTAAAAAATTTTTTTTCTTTTAAAATTTTGTTGATACGTCTTATATTCAGGTGCGCTCAATAGTCTGGACTCTGGCTCAATTACGATTGAAAATGAAAATACTCTACTTTCGTCATTTTGGTCTTATAATGTTCATATTAACCCGTACTACATGACCCTGGTGTTTTTTATTTTGCTATTTTGTCTGTAAATCAATATATGAACTTTAATAAACAGACTAATCAGGTGCTGTCTTTCTCAGAGGTTGATCCAGCTAGTAACACGTTTGATTGACAGCGTGACAGCAATTGCCAACTGAAAACACTCCATCTTGTTAGGTCATGTGGTAATATAGGAAGTGCTCCACTGTGTTTTTAAATTCCACACACCTTCACTAGAATCATTTGGATAATTTCAGTTCTGGAAATGACAATCTCTACTGATCAAAGGTGGCTGTTCACTTGAAAATTTCCAGGAAATGACATCCATTTGTGCAATATAGGACCTTTAATATTTCTGAGCAGAGATGACTTGGGAGCATTACTAACCTTGCGTCATATCTGGACAGCACGACCGTGATGGTGTAAGTGACCACTCTCCTCTTGTTGTAGTGGCTGACTCCTGTGTACTTTCCTGGGACACCGAACAGCAGGTCTGGAAACGCAAAGAACATATCAAAAGGTAACAAAGTGGGCCTGCCAGATTAAAAACAACCATAAAAACAGATCATTGTTCTTTTAAAGTGGTACAAACTGCCAAATGCATTATTCTATGGTAAAAATAGACAAATTTTGAAGTGGTTCATGTCATTCCCCAGTTTGAGTCAGAGTCGAATTTGCGCCAGTCATGCAAGTCGACAAGTTGACTTTAGTTTCATTATTTTACTCGCCAGAAAGAGTTTTAAAAAATGGTATCTGTCAGGTGAAAGCTTCGTTCGCCATTCAACTTCAACATAGATTCATGACATCACAAGGGGAAATAAAGTATTTGTGTGTCTGAATGAAAGAAAACACTCCTCCAGGTCTGTTTTTGAGCACGTTACAGCATTATAAAATGGTTCAATTTTGCATAATCTAGGATCTTTAATATCTGTTGCTTGTTATGGTGAAATTTCAAATATGAAGAGGTGGGGCCCGTCAGTTTTGAACAAAAAGTTCATGAAGCAGCTTCTGTTATTAATCAATTCTAGATCAATTTTGCCGTTTATGATTAACAAAATACCAAATCCTGATCTACATAGGTTATAGTTTAATACAGGGATGTCCAAACTTTTTTCATCAAGGGCCACATATCTAAATACAGAAGAAGCAGAGGGCTGATCGAGGGCCATAGACTGGTGCTCAATACAGCAAATAATTGAAATATGTGCATGTTTAACACATTAGAATGAGCCATCAGACTTTATATTTTAAGATCCTTAAAATCACACACTAAATATTAAATATTAGCCTTATCAAAGTAGATTTTCAAAGAAGTTGCAGTAAAACGTTCATTTCTAATTGATGCTATGTAATTTGGACCAATTCACCTGCAAGCCTGAGGGCCAAGAAAAATTTGTCTGAGGGCCGCATTTGGCTCACGGGCCACATGCCTGGTTTAATACTTCATATCTGAACAAAAACATAATGTCTCCTTTGAAGGGCCTGTGTTGTTTTATTATACTGTTATTTTTTCTGATCTGTGTTACAATGTCGCTTCCTCATCAGGAAATGAGGAAATGTAGTTGCCAATCTCTAAATGTAACTGTCAGTCTCGAATGAAGCAAAGGTAAAAAAGTGTTTTGAGCTTTGAAGATGTAGAAGATGTAGAAGATGCAGAGAAAAGGTTATTTTATGTGTGAAAGAAACAAAACACAACTCCAGGTCTGGTTTTAACAACATTATAACATTGATTAAAACTCACAAGAGTCAAATTTGCGTAATATAGTGTAGGACCTTTAATATCTGTTGCTTGTTACGGTGAAATTCCAGTATGAAGAGGTGGGGCCGTCAGTTTTGATCAGGAAGTTCATGCAGGCTATCCCCAGGTTTGACTATCCCAAATTAAAGACTTTTATAAGACCTTTTGAAGACCATTTAAATGAAAATTAAGGCCAACATCGTATTCATTATCCAGATCCAATTCTAATAATGACCATTACCCACTAATTTAAAAAACAAAAAATACTTTCATTATAAAATGTCATTCAGAACAAATTTTTAGTAGTATGCGTTGCTTGTAAAGAGCCAAAAATTAATTTTGTTTTTTGTTTTTTTCATCCTTCCATTTAACATCGCACTGCAGCCCAGTTGAGTATACAAAAAAAATAGGCTAATGAAATTTAAGATCTTTGTGGAAAAAATAAGACTTGGACAACATAATTAAAGACTTTTTAAGGACTTAAATTTAGGAACATGATATTTAAGATCTTTTTAAGACTACACTGTCATGGAGCAGTTTTGTTATTAATCAATTTTAGATTAATTTTGCAGTTTATAATGAACAAAATACAAAATCAGGATCTGCATTTAATACTTGATGTCCACATTGTGTTATTTTCTGATCTGTATTACAATGTCGTTTCCTCATCAGGAAATGAGGAAATGTAATGGCCAATCTTTAATGAAGCAAAGCTAAAAAAAGAAGCTGATGACTTGAAAACTATAACTTCATGACATCACAAGATGGAAAAGAGCATTTTGAACTTTAAAGATGTAGACAGACTAATAATAAAGGGTTACTCAAACATGCGTGAATGAAACTAAACACAATTCAGGGTATGTTTTTGATGAATTAACAACATTGTAGCATGGCTTAAAGCTCACAAGAGTCAATTTTAATAATGAACAAAATACAAAATTATGGTCTACATTAGGTTATCGGTTAATACTGGACGTCTGAAAAACATAGTGAGTCTCCTTTAAGGTTTGGTGCAGAGCTAAACGGGGTTAAACGGGGAAAAGGGAAACTGGGGCTAGAGACTCAGACTTCACAAAACACTGGCACAAAAACCTCTTTGACCAAAGCGGACTGTGAACAGGTCTGTGCCCTCTCCAGGAGCACACGGAACAGCCAAACTCTCTTTCATTTGAGCTACGAGGGAGGGAGAGGAAGGGAGGGAGAGGAAGGGACGGGGAGGGAAGGAGAGTGAGGGAAAAAGAGTGAATGAGCGAGAGAGGGAGGGAGGGAGAATGAAGGAGTGAGAGTGAAGGAGATTGAGAGAAGGAGATTGAGGGAAGTAGAGTGGAGGAGTGAGAGTGAAGGAGTGAAAGTGAGGAAGGGAGAGTGAGGGAAGGAGAGTGAGAGGGAGGAGGGAGGGGGAGAGTGAAGGAGGGAGGGAAGGAGAGTGAGAGGGAGGGAGAGTGAGGGAGTGAGAGTGAGGGAGGGAGAGTGAAGGAGGGAAGGAGAGTGGAGGGAGGGAGAGGGAAGGAGTGAGAGGGAGGGAGGGAGTGAATGAGGGAGAGAGAGGGGAGGGAGAGAGAGGGGGAGGGAGGGAATGAGTGAGAGTGAGGAAGTGAGAGTGAAGGAGTGAGAGTGAAGGAGGAAGAGTGAGGGAGGGAGAGTGAAGAAGAGAGCGTGAAGGACAGATAGTGTGTGAGAGAGAGTGAAGGAGGGAGAACGGAAAATGAAGGAGGGAGAAAGGAGAGTGAAGAAGGGAGGGCGAGTGAGGGAGGGAAGTTGCGTGAGGGAGGGAGGATGAGTGAGGGAAGAAGTGAGAGAGGGAGAGACAGACAGAGAGAGAGGGAATGAAAGTCAGAGAGGAAGAGTGAAGGAGGGAGGGAGGGAGAGACAGAGAGGGGGATTGAGAGTGAAGGAGGGAGGGAGAGCGAGAGAGAGACGAGTGAGGGAGAGACAAGAGGGAAGGAAAGTGTCTAAAAAGTTTGGACACACCTTCTCATTAAAGGTTTTTTTTTTTTTTTATGTACTGCTTTTTACATTGCAGACACACTGAAGACATCAAATATATGAACCAAGATGTAAAAAACTATGAAGCAAAAGAAAATATGTGTGTGTTAAATTATATGTTCTATTTTAGATTCAGATTCCTCGCAGTATCTACAGTTTGCTTTGTGGACAGAGCTGTAAATCCTCGGCCTTTTCTCAATGAGCCTCATGATGAAGTCTCCTGAAATGGTTTCCACTTCACCGTTGTGCCGTGCCAGGGTTCATTACTGGAATGCCAAGAGTGCAAAGCGGTGATCACAGCAACGAGGCGCTATTATGAGGAATCTAAAATCTAGAACACTGAAACGTTTTAAATTATTTCACACTTTACTACATGACTGTACGTGTCCACTCATGGTTTTGATGCCTTCAGTGGGAATTCACAAATGAAATAATCATGAAAATAAAGAAAACATTTAAGGGGAGGGAGAGTGAGGGAGTGAGAGTGAAAGTGAGGGAGTGAGAGTGAGGGAGGGGGTAGGGAAGAAGAGTGAGTGAGCGTGAAGGAGGGAGAGCGAGGGAGGAAGAGTGAGGGAGAGTGAAGGAGTGAGACTGAAGGAGTAAGAGTGAAAGAGGGTGTGAAGGAGGGAGGGAGTGTGAAGGAGGGAGGGAGAGTGAAGGAGGAGGAGAGGGAGGGAGAGTGAAGGAGTGAGAGTGAAGGAGGGAGGGAGAGCGAGGGAGGAAGAGTAAGAGAGAGTGAAGGAGTGAGAGTGAAGGAGTGAGAGTGAAGGAGGGAGAGTGAAGGAGGGAGATTGAGGGAGGGAGAGCGAGGGAGGAAGAGTGAGGGAGAGTGAAGGAGTGAGACTGAAGGAGTAAGAGTGAAAGAGGGATTGAAAGGGAGGGAGTGTGAAGGAGGGAGGGAGTGTGAAGGAGGGAGGGAGAGTGAAGGAGTGAGAGTGAAGGAGGGAGGGAGAGCGAGGGAGGAAGAGTAAGAGAGAGTGAAGGAGTGAGAGTGAAGGAGTGAGAGTGAAGGAGGGAGATTGAGGGAGGGAGGGAGAGCGAGGGAGGAAGAGTGAGGGAGAGTGAAGGAGTGAGACTGAAGGAGTAAGAGTGAAAGAGGGATTGTGAAGGAGGGAGGGAGTGTGAAGGAGGGAGGGAGAGTGAAGGAGTGAGAGTGAAGGAGTGAGAGTGAAGGAGGGAGAGCGAGGGAGGAAGAGTAAGGGAGAGTGAAGGAGTGAGAGTGAAGGAGGGAGATTGAGGGAGGGAGGGAGAGTGAGGAGGGAGAATGAGGGAGCGAGAGTGAAGGAGGGAGGGTGAAGGCAGGCGAGTGAGGGAGAGAGCGTGAAGGAGGGATAGTGTGAGAGAGTGAAGGAGGGAGATAGAGAGAGTGAAGGAGGGATAGAGTGAGAGAGTAAAGGAGGGAGAAAGGAGAGTGGAGGGAGAGTGAAGGAGAGACAGACGAAGAGAGAGGGAAGGAGAGTGAGGGACGGAGAAACAGAGAGGAAGAGTGAAGGAGGGAGGGAGACAAGAGGGAAAAAAACATTTAAGGAGCACCGTGTAACTTTTCTGCCACCTGCTTTGCCTAGAATGATCCACAGTGTAGAATTGTATTTATCTCCACAGAGACAAGCGGAAAACAGGAAACTCCGCTCATTTCGACTTAGACAAACTTTACTGATCCACAAGGGAAGTTCTTACAGGAAGTTGTTTATGTTTTTCAAGGTATTTTGAGCAGTAAATCACCTGTAACTGGATAAATACAAGATAAATAAGATTAACAGCATCCTCTGGGAACGTCTGGTTTTTATGAGCTTAATGTCTCTGTACAATCGCTTCGAATAAACACTAAAGATTAAAGACATATAAAGTTAAAGGGTTCCGTCGAACTCTTGTTACAATTTACTTCTTTTGAAAAATGGTGCCTCGGTCATTCTCTCTGTAACTGCTGCTATCTAAAATGTTCGTTTAACCTTCTCTACAGGATCCAGGTGTTTATATTTTGCAATGTTTTCCAAAAATAAAGGTATGAACATTAATAACAAACTTTGGTGCCTTCTTTCCCCAAGGTCATTCCAAACAGTGTTAGTCAGTGGTGTGGGAAGGAAGGAATATTACCTTCAACACCCTCACCTCTCTCAGTGCACTTCTTTATACAGTCTGTGGTCCAAGTGTTTGACTGGTTGTGTAAGCAGTAATGATGACTTGAGCGAGGAGTTCGTTTGTTTGTTTATTAAAGGTCCCAAATTACGTAAAATTGACTGTGGAGTGAAGTTTAAGCCATGTTGTTACCTCATCAAAAACATACCCAGAGTTCTGTTTTGTTTCAATCACATATGTCGGAGTAATCCTTCATTATTAGTGGGCCCGGTCAAGCAGAAGTAAACAGCAAGGCCAGAAATTCAAGTTAATGCATCTGATATAAAAATGTATTGAACAGATACATATGTACTCTAGTTTATGAAACTGTTGACCTTTTTTCTGTACCATTTTTGGTTCTAAAGTTCCATATGTTTTAAACAGACCATGTATGAAACATGGAACAAAAATTATTTCCCAAATTTCAAAGACCTGCAAATCATGTAAATAAAAGGATGTATTTCATCATATCTTGTGTTATTCCATCTTTGAACTGTTGATGAAGGAACATGATTTAAAAAAAAAAAAAAAAAAAGTATTTAAAATGATAAAAAATAGCTTGGAAGGACTGACATATTTTACAGAAATAGTTTCCTTTCATTTTGAAGTAATAATAAAGTATTCGGAAGAAAAAAGCGACAAAATGATGTAAAATCCTGCACCTTCTACTTGTTTGCACAATTTTCCCTCCTGTTACTTTTCCCTCCGTTACCATGACCTTTCTTAATAAAAAATCTCATGAGTCAAAAAGTCAGAGGTTTTTCAACCTAATCTTGTACCATATGGTAGAGAAAACTATATGAAGCAAATATTCAAACCAGTTTGTTAAGGATATGGAAGTGAGAACCAAGAGTTATCACTGTTTGGATTTATTGCCCAAAAAGTGCTGCATATTTCATTCCCTCCGTTACCAACATGAGGTTTTAAATTTTTTGTCAACAACTTGAAAGAATATCACAGGTTTAACTTGACCCTGTTGGAGTGTAACTCTTTCCTACATTCTGATACTTTACTTATTTCAATAGTCCCTCTAGTTTCTGAATAAGAGACATTTGAATGTCAAAAATCTGCCCGTTTCCCTCCGTTACCGCTTGACCGGACCGCTAGTGTAAATCTCCCAAACTCAAAATGCTCTGATCCACCTTGTGATGTCATGAACTTTCAAGTTAACAGCTACCTTTTTCCTTTATTCCAGAACAGATAAGAAATTGATGCACCACTCTCCTGCTTGCAAGACCTATACACCACCTGCCTCACCTGCAAAGCCACCACAAAAAGTCACACCGCACACGTTACACACAAGCATTTGTGTGTGTATGGTACTGCTGTTTCCTCTGCCCTGTCTGTCCAGGTGCAGTGAGCGGGACCTGACTGGAGCTGATTGGCCAGCTAGCAGCCGATCAGGTTGGAAAGGACCATTTAAAAAGAGCTGTGTGCTGCTGTTCTCTCTATCTGTAATGCTGCTACTTCTGCGAGCCACGTATTGTTTGGTTGGGAGGTTGGTTAGGTAAGTTGGGGATTCCTTTACACCTTGCACCACGTAGTTTTTCTTTGTTAGACACATTAGTTTACGAGTTGTTGCCACCCTTGTTGTTTTGAAGTATCCAAATTCTCTTTTTTAGATCAGGTAGACTAGGCTTTGTGGTTTCTTTACTTTTGTAGCCTAGTTTTCAGTTAGGCCAGTTCTTTTATTTGGCACAACTGGCACACGCCTCCTCCTACCAACCTTTTGTTTGTTTCTGGCATACATATTAATGAATGTTTTGCCTCAAAATAAAACTCACCAAACCTAGTTTGTCTCACTGATTGTTTTATAACGGTTGTGTGCCTTGTGTGATTTAGCAGACATAACAGCACAATCTGTTCAGCCTCCTACCCTTTGGAAAGAGGTACAGGAGCCTCCGTTCCCACATCACCAGACTCACTAACCGCTTCATTCACCAGGCTGTTAGAATGCTGAACTCTCTTCCCTCTCTAACCACCAGGCAGCCAGTAAACGGGAATCTTCATCTTCCCAAAGAAGAACACTTAAACTTTTCCATTTATTATTATTTATTTGTGTGCTTGGAAGTGACACAATTTTGATTCTTATTTGAATGAAGAATTGACAATAAACTTTGAACTTGAAATTCCAAGGCTGAAATTATCCAAATGATTCTAATCGACTTCCTGTATTACCACATGACATCACAAGGTGGAACAGAGTGTTTTCTGACTGAGAGAAGAACTCAAACCCTGCATATGCTGTGTGTTACAAAGATGCACCATGTGACTTTTTGATTGGGTGGGCATCTGTGACCTGCTTTATTTCTATGGATATGTTATTTCTCTGCCTGGAATGTTCCACAGTGTGACATTAAACAGCTCTACCTTACATTTACTCAATTACAGACGGGTTTATGGCTCAAAAATACCAAGAAAAACAGGAATTCTGACTGCGAGCGGGGTTGCATCTCCATAAATCTGACCTGTAACTCGGTCTGGTTTGGTCTCCGTGATGATAGAAAGGTTTAACATTCCAGGCAAAACCAATAACAACTCCATGTAGAAAAGAATTTGACAGACCCTCCAGCAGAAAAGTTACAAATGCACCTTTCAGATCCACATATCTTGTGCGTACCTCTGAGCGTGGCGGAGGTGTGGAGGCCTTTAGGCTCGTGTTTGTGGATGGTTTTGAGGAGGTCGGAGTCGGTGTCAAACAGGTCCCGTTGGTTCTGCCAGTAGTTCCCGGGAGACACCAGGAGGCAGCCATGTTCCGGAAGGACGGACTGCATCCTGCGTAATCCCGGCAACAGATCGGTCACCTGCAGACACAAGCTCTCCAGACTGCGTGTCCCGGAACTGCCAACGAGAGAAAAACATCATGATATTAGTCTATATTATTACAAGGGCTGAATGTCTTATGTCATTTAGTAGTTGATTAAAGATCTTATATTACACAAAAATGACTCTATAGAGATTTCAGTCATGTTATAAAGCTGTTACTTCATCAAAATCATACCCAGAGTTGTGTTTTGTTTTGTTCACACATGTTTGAGTGTTTCTGAATTATTAGTCTGTCAACATCTTCAAAGCTCAAAATGCTCTGTTCCTCCTTGTGATGTCAGTAGTAGAAGCAGTAGTTTTCAAGTGAACAGCTCCTTGAACCTCTTCCAGGAGAGAATCAAATGAATCAAAAGAATCAAATATTTTAGTGAAGGTGTATGGAGATTATAAACACAGGGGAGTGCTTCCTGTATGATCACATGACATCAGAAGGAAGAGTGTGTTTTTAGTTTGAGAGACGAGCTTGATATGAACTAAATATGCAGGATTTGTGTGTTAAAGATGCTCTGCATAACATTTATAGTGGAGGGTCCAGCACCTGCTTGTTTCCATGGAAATGCTATTGCTTGATCTGGAATAAGGGTCTCCGACCTGTAGCTCGAGAGCTTCCAGTAGCTCTCCACCCCGTTTCAAGTAGCTCGCCAAGCGATTCATGACTTACCGTATTTTCCGGGCTATTACGCGCTCTGGATTATAAGACGCACTGTCGTTAAATGGTCTATTTTCAAACTTTTTTCACAAATAAACCGCACTGGACTTTAAACGAAACACAACAGTGTGATGGGTGAGTGGTTTTGTTTGTTTGTGGCGTTCACGGTGACTCTGGGCTTTGTTCAGTTGTGGCGTGTAGGGAGGGTGCTGTCTGGGACCAACGGGTTGTTGGCGTGTTCACAGTGACTCAGTTGTGTCTAGAAGTGGCATATTGCACTCGCTTTTTCGGTTTGTTCCTCTGTTCCGTTCCTCGTCGGCGTGGAGTGATGTGTGTCTGTGGGTGTTTTTCTCTGTGCGGTCGCTGTCTGCTCTGTGTGTGTTTGTGTGTTCTGTGGGTGGTGCGGTTTTGTAGTTTACTGAAGTCATGCTGGGACACCCGAGTGGATTTGTGTATAGGGCGTCTGGTCATTTTTTGATGGGGTTAGAGGCTTAAGAGTGTGCCTAATAGCCCGGAAAATACGGTACACATATTGTGCTGAATAAGTAAAACTGAATCAATTAAATACGTTTTACCATTGTACATGTATCATTTTGATGCTTAACATTGTACACTAATACAGGTGCAACATTTTATGCGCCATGGACCGTTTCAATGTCCAACAATATGTTGGTGGACCTGGGGAGAGAGTGCGAGCATGAAAAAAAAATTGAGGAAGGAGGAGGGACGCGGAAAATTGAGGACCGGAGGAGGGGGTGGTTCGCGCTTTTTGTGCGGCCCCAATGTCAGACAATATTTTCACAAACCGGCAGCTCAATCTGAACGGCGACCTGGTATTAAATGACTCATGGCCCGGTATTGGTGGCTGGGGACCCCTGCACTAATAAATGGATATGGTTTTATAGGCATCTAACTATAGCTTATCTAAAGCTCACTGTGGTTCTTATATTTACTCAATTTCTTGTGACCACTGAAACTAGTAGCTCTCTGGCATTTTCATTTTGTAAAAGTAGCTCGCTGCAGGAAAAAGGCTGGAGACTGTTTAATCTATATTGTGGAACATTATAGACTCAATAATGTTCCACAGTGTAGATTATCACCAGGGAGACAGCACTACACCACATTACAATTCAGATCTATGGAGAGTCACCCCGTTTCACAGAAGGAATCATTCTATTTTTGTGCAATAGAAACACCCGTAATTAATAAATACTAGTTAATGTCACACCACGGAACATCCCAGAAAAAGCAATAACATCTCCATGGAGACGAGCAGGTGACGGACCTTCCACCAGAAAAGTTGCAAGCATGTGTGAATGAAACAAAACACAACTCCAGGTCTGTTCGTGATGAGGAAACAGCATAATAACATAGATCGGAAAATAGCACAATAAAAACATAATGTAAATAAATAGTTCGGTTGCAGTGTGTTTACCCATCGTTGTGGACGTGGTTGCGTATTTCCTCGAGCAGGTTGAAGACTCGCCCCAGAGGAGAGCGGAAGGCGTCCACCGGCACCAGGCTGCTGTCCCACGGAGACACAGCCGCCTTCACCAACACCTGCTGGATGTACGCCACCGGGAGACCATGGTACTGAAACACACACACACATGTATGAGCTTTAATACCTAATTTAGATCAAGGAAATCTTCTGTCAGAAAAAAAATCCATATGGTCTGACATCCAACTGCAACAATTAATCAGAAATAGCGTTTAAATGAGTTTACAAACTTAGTGAGGGGAATAACTAGGATGCTACGAATGTGTCAGGAAAGTGAGGAATAAGTTTGGACCGTTTAAAATGTTTCCATTTTGAAGACAGTAGAAATCTGGCTGTGGGGAAGCTGGCCCGATGTGGTGTTTTGACCAGAGAATTTATTAAAATAGACTTCTGGGGTAATTAAATTAAATACAAATAAAATGTTCAAACAAATAAACAGAAGTAACATAAATTAAAACAAGCGCAACAACCAAGTGCACCCAACTACACAGAAATTCTCTCCCTAATAGACAAAACCGGCGTGCTCTTATACCCCCCAGCAGGAAGTACCCCCCCAGGTAAGTATCATTTCCTTTACAGGTCAGAGGTCAGATGTTCAGGCAACTTTACAATTTCCTCCACAGTTAACCGTTTTCTTCACAAGGGCCTAAGTCCCCTAAATTATATAAACAAAATAAACAAAACAGTGAAATAAAACTCCACATGGTCTAGTCTACAACCTCCCCCACAGGCTTTAGATACGACGCAGGGCACGTCCCCCTCTTTTGTCTCCAGACCATGTGAAGGAGCAGATAAGTATAGTAAATATGGATGTATGATGTAAATCAAATGAATTACCAAAATTAAGTACTTTTAAATTAACAATGTACTAAGTGATAATAAAAAAAAAACAATATATATGTAACTTAGTTTAGTTGGACATGGAGATGAACAAATTAACAAGTGTGAAATTAAAATGGATGCTTTGCTTTGTCACACCAGCACAGTGACTTTTATTCTTTCTTTTAATATGACTTTACTAAAAACCCGTTGTAGTTTTGAACATTATCCAAAGCGCCCTCTTGTGGTGACCCTGGCATCAGGAGCACGCTGCCAGTTGATGAGAGACGGGCACGAGAGGGGTCATGGACTTAAGCGTCGTTGTTAAAAATTTGGCAGTGATCATATAATGAACAGAAATACCAATTGCCCAAAGTATTTATGTGATTTGGGACAGAAGCAAACTTTTAGATGCTAATGTGACTCGTTATCCGTGTAGCGTGCTGCTCCCCGTGTTGAGTTGTGGAATCTTGACCAGTACATGTTTGTTTCATACTAGGGACGGGCATTCGATTTAAGAAAATGTATCAATCGTCGAGAGAATTAATGATCGATTACTGATTAATCATTAATGTTTTTATATTAAAATGATCATTATTATTACTATCTGCACTACTAATCTGCATAAATAAATTCAACTTTACGACATATAAACTGTAATCACTCTAGAGCCACATCAGTCCGTTTGACATTATAATGAGTTTAATGAGGTTTTGCGCAAGTCTCAAACGAAACTTAAAACTGCATGGCTCATTTGCATAAACTAAGCAAGGGAAAAAAACAGCTCTTGTGCGCTGTTGCGGCACGACTCAGTGGAATACAGGTTAGTGTGACCATATTTGCGTTTGTCAAAACCAGGACACCGTACGGGGGGAGGGAGGTGGGGAGTCGTCATCGACATTGAGCTACTCTCACCTGGCAAAACTTCATGTTTTCTGTGTCCTGGTGAACTTTTTCCCACTGGACACCAAAACATATGTGCCCCTTTGTACACTGTGCACATGACCTCACACTTGTACAAGAAATTCCACGCTTTCCATTCCGGTCGGGACAAGTCATCTTTAAATACGCATTTGTGCTTCGGCATGTTGCAGACTGACCGACTGTTTGCTTGTTCCTTCTGAGTGCAGAGAGCTACATGTACTGACCCCCGTCCCCGGACACGGACGTTTGGTCAGGCTACGCACAGCAACCTACATTTGGTTTGTTGATTAAAATGAACGTAATGAAATTCTTAATGATCAATTATCGATTAATCGACTAATCATGCCCATCCCTGTTTCATACAGATTAAAACCACAAAAGACAGCACCATGTCCTAGCAATTGCTGGGTGTCAGATGATATCACAACATTCTACAGGCCAGGGCAGGTAAAATAAATATTGAAATGCAGATTTTTGTTATAATACAAAAAGTGAATGTGTTTACTCGCAAATAAAATTGGTCAGGTTCAACATTTGTGAATTCACCTTTTGGATTTTTCATAGTAAAGCACTGTAATGTAATCAATGGGAAAAACTGAATCCTGTAACCCATCTGGGAGTATGACATCCTCACATTCCAGAATCTCAAAACCACCAATTTGTTCACAACAAATGCAGAAAACTGGAGCTGGACTTCTGCGCAGCCTGTCAAGTTCAGCACAGTTACACTTACCCAGTCTGGCCTCTCCCCCAGCTCCCCGCGGGGCACAGAGGAGGGGGCGCTGTAGTCTCTCACTCCTGTGGTGAACTCCACCGGACCTGTCCCGGGCAGAGGCAGTCTGAGCAGAGGGTAGCTACAGCAGAAGGAGAAGAGAAGAGAGGGTTAAGAACAACGTGATAAGAAGGTCAGAGGTCCAGACGAGGAAGTTCAGGGCTTAACGTGGATGTTAAATATTGCTTTCATGTTAGTTAGATTTATTAACAAGAACAAGGAAAGACAATTTGAGGACATAAATCGATCAGTAGGGCTTGAACTAAAAGCATGTCCTGCTGATTGAGTAGTTGACTAAAAAGGGGGCGAAGCAAAAAAACTTTACATAATTAAGAGTTAACCAATACTGCACACACAATATTAACTGCACCATTGTGGGAACAGTAGCTCAGTTGGCGGCTCAAATCACACTCTCAACTCAAATATCACTGGTTGCGCAGTCAGATCCACAGACCCACAGGTTGGTGGTCCTTGGGCAACACACTTCAACCCACTCGCTCCCAGTGTGTTCATACAATGGTGTATGAATGTGCGTGTGAATGGGTGAGTGCTTCCTTGTTGGAAAGCACTTTGCAGGCAGCAGTATCGTTTGTCCACTGATCCGAAGGTTGGAAGTTCAAATCCGGCTCTCAACATAAAACATGATTGGTTGAGCAGTCTGACCAACATATTGGCGGTGCGATTCTAGCTCCCACAGACAGATAGAATGCTGTCGTTGTGTCTTGGGCAAGACACTTAACCCACCTCGCCTCCAGTGTATGAATGTGTGTGAATGGGTGAGTGGTTCTTTGACGTAAAGCGCTTTGAGTGTCTTGAAAGTGGAAAAGCGCTATAGAAAATGTGACCATTTACCATTACATTTGAAAACAGATCCAGTACTGAAATTGTATTGTACTGTATTTAGGATAAATGCATATCTACATCAAAATTTTCAATTAGCTCACAATATACGCTTCAGTTGTTGCCATTGTCCCATATAAATCTTTAAAATTCAAATTACATACATTAAATACTAACTAAAAACAAATGTCAAATGTATCAAGAATCATATAATAATCGGTACTAAAACTAGTATTGAAGCTAGATACCGTATTATTCGGACTATAAGTTGCACCAGCCAAAAAATACGCAATGAAGAAGAAAAAAAACATATACAAGTCACACCGGACTATAAGTCGCTCTTTTTGGGGAAATGTATTTTATGAAATCAGAGACCAGGAACCGACATTTAATCTTGAAAGGCAAGTTATAGTAATAACAACAGAATAGAGAACAACAGACTGAATAGGTGTTAATATGTTAACGTCACATATTAACAGTTATTCTGACAATTATAGCATAAACAACAGAACATAAGTTTACCAAACTCTCCATCTCACTCCAAATCACTAAATCCACTGAATTCTTCTTCCTCAGTGTCACTTCTGCGTGACCTCCTGAGATAAACCATAGATCCATGATGTAAACAGAGCGCCACTTCCTCTTCTGTGTCGCTGTCGTCAGACTCAGTATCAGTTCCAGTTAGAATTATTCTGGCCTTTCTGAATCCCGACAGGATGGTTTTGGTGTCACTGAAGTCCAGGCTTTGTCGATTCATCCAGTGACTTCCAAGAAAGTTGCATGGTGCACCCGCCCGGTTGCCGTGACGCTTTGTTCTCCATCCCCACTTTTCCGCCAGTCAACCACAAGTTTCTCGCTCAACTTTCTCTCTGCTGCTCTATAACCGTTTTTTGCTGCATATTTCACTATTTACAGCGAGACAGCGGCTTTTTCTAAAGGAGACACGAGCAATACAGCAAAGTGACAGTGGTACAGGAGTAATAGTAGTACTAGATACTGACACACGAGCCTAGAGCCTCTCGCAGCTGTCAGTCTGAAAATGTTAATATATGAGTTGCACCAGAATATAAATCGCAGGAAACACCCAAATCATGGAAAAAAGTGCGACTTAAAGTCCGAAAAATACAGTACTCATTTGAGCAGGTATCAATACTAAAAAAGGCCCAATCACAGGACAGAAATGAACCTTTCCTGAATAGATTTAGAATGATCTTGAGTTGTATCAGAACAAGTGTAAGAGCACACAGACTAGTACATGCCCACGGACCACTATGGAACCTACTTGGACCACTGAGAGATTACACACATGTAAGGCCACATGGGAATAGAAAAGAAAGTAGTACGATTTGATGTCAAAAATCATATTCTACTGTATAAAGAAAGTGTTTTACTATCATTGCAGTATCAAAATCAGTACTGAGAATCAAGTCAATTGCTAAGCATTGAAATCATGTTTCAAATCTTAGTATCGTGATTTGTGACCACACTAGGTGCTACACCCCTTCCTCAAACATTGATTCACTCCAGGAAGGATGACGCATCAACAAGTCCTGTGTTTACAAAAAAATTTAATCAATTCTACGATTTTCTAGAGAGTAAAACTATGCAGCCTTTTGTTTGTCTCTTTTCTAATCAGTGACATTTTAATCCCAGCGACAGAGAATAATGACTCTGGACGACAGATACAACATGGACACTGGTTTAGGCAGGTCAGAGAGCAGAGCTGTTTACATGTGGGGAGGCTGATAACAAAGGAACTAGGACCTCAGGATTTTCCAGTTAGACTATCACAGGTCCAGGAAAAATTTGAGGTATTCGCACATGTTACAGTTGCCTGACCAGCCCATCCCTTCTACATTCTATACGAATCCAGAGGGGAACTGAACTGGACAGGAGAACATGAAAAAACTTTGTCCAAGTTTTTGATCCAAACACAGCTGCTAATTTGTATCTCGTGTCTCAAATGTGGAAAACATCTCCTCTTGAAATTTCTTGTAACATTAAGGAACAAAATATATAAATTATTTTACCTGAAATAAGTAACAGTTTGGGGCTTCGATTGTTGATTCTGAAAAAACCTACAGCTCCAGATCCAGTCAACTTCGTTACGTTTCTTTTTCGTTCAGATACACCGTGCATCTTTCACATCAGCTCAGATCACCAAATGTATTTCTATGACAACATTAAAAGATGTGCACACGATGATTTCAGCAGTGGACTTGGGTAAAAAGTAGCTGTTAACATGAAAACTACCACTACATGACATCACAAGGTAGACAACTTAATAATACAGAGTTCCTCGGGTCTACTGGGCTCTCTGGACTGACTCCAGTGCACATTAAGTTTAGTTCTGTTATTTTTGGGTAGGTCTTGTTCACATACACCATGAGTCGCATGGGGTTCACTGCCTATTCCAACATCTCTTCATTGTGACATGTCTCTGTTTAAACATGTCAGTATTAGGACATGTCTCTGTTTAGAAGTGCCAGTTTTCCGCCACTTTTAAGTTTTGGAAATTCCAACATACAATATACAATATATTGTCTACCCAGACACAGCTCTCACTGTTCTTCAGTGTTCTTAATCTCAACAACTATGAAGTCACACACAAAACCAACACACACAGTAGCCAACTGTTTCCCACGGCTATCAGTGAGGATATTTTCCCACTGTCTGACATTCTCTGATCAAGCGCTTTGCACAAGCCCAAGCATCTTATGATATATCGGAGCGCAAAGTATAATACTGCCCTACAAAGGCAAAAGATCTTAATTCGCTTGAGTGTGAAAAATAAGTGTTACATCATTCTGCTGTGTGTTTCTTGTATGGTTTTGGATGTTACGGTTGTCATAACCATTTATTTTCTCATTAAAACAATCAAATTGGCTCTCAAAATTTATTCACATGATAAAGAAGGTCTCAAATACTCCCAAAATGACTCATTTTAGACCAAACATGATGTTACAGGGTTCTGCCTTTGTATGGCAGAATAGGCCAACACGTCAATATTATTTATTTCGGAAAAGCGGAATATTTGAAAAAAGTAAAGTGCTGCTACTTTGACAATGAAAAAAAAAAAAGTCGAAGTAGTGTGATGCTTGAAAAAAAAAAGTTTATTCCTCTACTCCAACAATTAGATCAGCATGTCAGAATAGCAGCGTGTAACCGAGTCACGTCCATCAGCTGATTGCCAAACTTATTTCCATGACAAGGCGCTTCATGCAACAGAGCCCTGTTAATGCACGCACACGTGCTCACTTCTCTGGTGCCATACGCAGTCTTTCCTTTCACCTGTGGCCAAAACTCACCGTGAGCTTTATGTTTATTTTGTGGTCACACAGTTTGGCTTTCGTCCTTTCAGTCTGTAAACTTTGCTGAACATTTCCACGTGGTTCTGTTTTCTAACCCGGCTCTGGCGTTACTCACGTGCGGTCGAGAGGACAGCTGCCAAAAAAGCTCTGGTTTTTCAGTTTGTCATTTTTAGAGGATGTAGCTCTCCCACTGCTTTGAGCTAAAGTATAAAACGTTTATTAGAATCCAGGTCTTCATTTAGAAATACAGGGAGTTTATTAAAAAGCCCAGGTTATACTATTTTCTGATCTCTGTTATAATGTTGTCTCCTCATCACAAACATACCTAGAGTTGTGTTTTGTTTCATTCACACATTTTAACACATTTAACACACAAATTGGGCACGTTTAGGTTCTTCTCTCAAACACTCAGGAAATACAGGAAGTGCTCCAATGTACACAACTTCAGGTATGTTTTTGATGCAAACAACATTATAACATGGCTTAAAGCTCACAAGAATCAGTTTTGTGTAATATAGGACCTTTAAGCATACAGACTCCACCATCCTCCACCTGTTACATAACTGGACTCCCTCTTTGCTGTTCTGGTCCATCAGAATTCACAGGGCAGCCCCGCAGGTCACTGTACCTCCACAAAGGCTCTATTGTCCCAGCCTGGCCCCCTCCTGACGCCCTGTGATGGAGAGGCATTTTCTCACAGATCTCTGCTTGGGACCATTACCCTGCTGGAGCTCAGGCCTGTGTGCAAGAGAGCGCCCCCTGCTGTAAGGTGGTGTAAGGACAGGGGACAGCAGGTGCGGGGTCAGTGAGTTCTTTCTCTCTTGTGTCCAGAACACCTCTGACCCGTGTCCGTTCAGCTGGACTTTTGTGAAGGGTCCATGCTGTGGACAGAGCGCAGAGGGGGAGGCACATTCTCTGCACATGGACAGAGCACAGAAGTTCAACTCAAGCTTAAACTGGAACGAAACATGAAATCAAGTATTTTTTGCTAACTACCTTTTCTTAAAGGTCTTATATTATGCAAAATTGTGTTTTGTGAGTTTTAAGACATGTTATAATGTTGTTACCTCCTCAAAAACACACCTGGAGTTGTGTTTTCTTTCATTCACACATGTTTGAGTAACACTTTATAATTAGTCTGTCTTCATGTCCAAAGCACAAAATGTTCTATTCCACCTTGTGATGTCATGAAGACGTAGTTTAAATTAACAGCTATTTTTTTAATCTTTTGTTCAGTAGAGATGGGCAATTCCAGGTCTGAAATAATCCAGATGATTCTAGTGAAGATTTATGGAGTAATAAAATGCAGTGGAACACTTCTTGTATGTGTCATCACAAGGTGTTTATGGTGTTAATAACACCGTCTACTGTTCCCTTGTTTCCCTTGTCCTGGTTGAACATACACTGCTGTAATAGTATTTGCCCAGAAAATCTCAGAATGTTTGAACTTTTATTTAGACAAAATTGTTTGTTGCCGTAGTCGTTGTCGTTACTTCAGAGATTAATCAAAATTTGGATCAGTTTTGTTTCAGTCTGGTATCGGTTCATATCAGGTATCAGCAGATAGTTAAAGCCAAAGTATCAGAACTGGTATTGTAACTGTAAAAAAGCTGCATCAGTGCATCCCTAAATGTTACTTAAAAACAGTGTCATTTTGCTACTGTGGGACAAATAAAGGGCAATCTAATCTGTATCTCTAAAATGCCCTTGGGGCCTTTGGCAATGTTTGCTGTTGTTGGAAATACAACATGGTGTAATTAAAAGGTAATGCCATCTCTGAAACAGAGCAAAGGGTCACAGTTTGGTAAGAATTACTGTTTTGTTACTTATGCATAGTAAATATCTGACCAGAAAGAGATGCCTTAGCTGGAACTACAACAGGAGAGATGATTTTCTAAACAAGTTTTTCACACACAAACTTACTGTCACAAGCCAGCTAACACTAACCAACAGTTTTTCAACAAAAAGGTGACAGTGACTGAAACTGAAACAGGACCATGAACGCTCATACTGAACACAGGCTCCTGAAAATGTGTTGTTTAAATTCATTTTGTACTTCCGTATTCAGTTGTAAAAATGCTTTTGACAGTGTTTGCTCATGTATACATTGTGTCTCCATGGTAACAAGTGAACAATCCACCATAGAGGTACATACAGAATGGCCCCAGTGTGATGTGACTGTAAAGTATAAAGAGACAGAGCGTTGTGGGCGTACCAGCAGGTGAGGATGCTGGCCGAGGTGAACAGGATGATGGGCACAGGGTAGGAGGCACACAGCAGCCCGTGGCGGTAGAAAGCGGCAGAGATCTTCTCCCGGAGCTGCTCGCGCAGCGTCATCCTGAGGGGCGGGGTCAACTGCCGGCCATTAGGACGTACAGAGCGGCCGAGGGCAGTGCGCCGCGGGGCATCCAGGGACCTGAGGGCAAAGAGCACATGTTTAAGAACAGGAACGTTTATTCATTTATAGGTCCTATATTACACAGAATTGACTCTTGTGAGCTTTGAGCCATATTATAAAGCTGGACTTGTGTTTTGTTTCATTCACACATGTTTGAGTAACTCTTATTATAAATCTGTCTACATCTCCAAAGCTCAAAATGCTCAGTTCCACCTTGTGACATCATGAAGCGGTCCATTTCAAGTTAAGCTACTTTTTATCTTTAGTGACTGATTTACTGATTTTAGTGAAGCTGTACCAAGTTAGAACACTACTACTGCACTACTATAACATAGTTTAGAAAATGGGCCTTATTACACTATGTAACAACATTTACAATATAGTTTGGATAGATTTTGAAATATGTTTTGAAAATATACTCTAATACTCTAATAATGTGTATCTAAAACTCAAACACCCACAAAGAGTAGGGCTGTATTAGACTGAAATTCTTGGTTGATTAAAGACATGTCCTGTCCTGGTTTAGCTGACTGTGAGTGGGGTCTCCACAGATCTGACCTGTAACTAACTTGGTCTGGTTTGGTCTCCATGAAGATAAAAAGTTTTAATACATATACTGTGAAACATTCCAGACAAAGGAATAATATCTCCATGGAGAAAAACATTTGATGGACCCTCCACCAGAAAAGTTACAAAATGCACCTTTAATATTATTGTAATATAATCCATATTTTCTTCAGCAATATATCATACTTCAAAATGTGTTATCACGGACCTAAATATAAATATACACGAGTGTGTTTGTGAGAGCCAGTGTCTGTGCACAGGGGCATGTTTCAGACTAGAGTCACATGCTCCACAGCTCCAACACTCACCTCATTCACACATGTGGATTCACTGAGGTGTGGACATACTCCACTAATCTGCACCAGACCAAGGTTTCAGCAGAGTGGGCAAAAACAAAATGGAAAATTGCAGTTTGAAAAGTTGCAAAAAAGGAAATGGTAAAAGCTGTGATTGTAAAGGCAAATATTAGTATCCAAAGATTTGTTCAACACTTTGTTTCAAGGCCCATTCACACACACAACCTGACCTGGGAATTTACCTGCATTTTTCCAGAACAGGATCATGTGTGAATGAAGCCAGGACTGATTTTGCTGCATTTTTGATTTGGCAAATTCCAGGTTAATTTACCATGAATATGCAGGAGTGGCAATGTGTGTATACAGCCAAAAAATTGCCAGTACAACAACTTGGTTTCCTTGGTGATGATCTTGGTATATCTCGGTTTACCTTGGGGACCATCTCGGTTTATCTTGGGGACCATCTCGGATTCCTTGGTAACCATCTTGGTTTCCTTGGTGACTATCTTGGTTTCCTTGGTAACCATCTTGGTTTCCTTGGTAACCATCTTGGTTTCCTTGGTGAGTAACTTGGTTTCCTTGGTGACTATCTTGGTTTCCTTGGTGACTATCTTGGTTTCCTTGGTGACTATCTTGGTTTCCTTGGTGACTATCTTGGTTTCCTTGGTGACTATCTTGGTTTCCTTGGTGAGTAACTTGGTTTCCTTGGTGAGTAACTTGGTTTCCTTGGTGACTATCTTGGTTTCCTTGGTGAGTAACTTGGTTTCCTTGGTGACTATCTTGGTTTCCTTGGTGTCTATCTTGGTTTCCTTGGTGAGTAACTTGGTTTCCTTGGTGACTATCTTGGGAACTTCCAGGGTAACTTGCCAAGAATATGCAGGAGAGGCAATGTGTTGATAAAGCCAGAAAGTTGCCAGTACAACAACCTGGTTCTCTTAGTTACTATCTTGGTTTGGTTGCTCCTTAGTTATGACTTTTGATTCTTTTGCTTCCTTGGTTTCGAGTTTGGTTTCCTTGCTTACTATCTTGGTTTCCTAGGTTACCATCTTGGTTTCCCATTTACAGGAAATGATGCAGAGAGTCAAATCCCAGGTTATGTGTGAACAGAGCAGACCCGGGAATGTTCTGGGACTGGTGCAACTTATTGAAACTCTCTGCAAATTGGGCTTAATAGGGCTGCAAAATGAACTAGTCCCAAATCACAAAGGCTGTAATTTTTGAGGTGCCATAATTTCCTTCATAAAAACAAAATATCCTTTCATATTCTGCATAAAAAGCTGCAAACCCTGCAGTTTAGATCTGTACAAACATGTTCTGAAATGTGATTCTTGTAGTAGTTCGTCAGTTCATTCTTCTCGATGGGTTTAATTATGAACTTTGAACTGAATTATTTTATGAAAACAGCAATTGTTAATGAATTACGACTGCAATGCTTCCCAGAAAAATTGCAAATTTAGATATTTTTCCCCAAATCGTTCAGCCCTATGATCTGACACTAGAAACAACAAGCAGGCAGGTGCGCTCAGAGTGCCTCCAGTTCTATTCCAGCTGACCTATGACCTCTCTCTTCTCTGTATTTATTAAGCACACAGGTCAAATCAGTTCAATCTACAGCTGCACACACCAAAACGTTTCACCAGCAACACACCCAAAGGCCAACAATCCTATCACCAACTCGCACCAGGAACACTCACCATCAGTCTAGTCGCTAACACGAACTCACTAAAGCATGGGTGAAGTGCCTTGCCTAAGGACATAGTGGCAAAACAGTAAGGGCTGGAGGTGAAAACACAACTATTTCATCCCGACTGGCACCCTCTGCTGGTCTTCCAAGTTTTATAGAACCGTAGTCACATTAGTAACTCTCATTTTCATAGCATAGAAGAAAATCATTTCTGAGAACAAAATTAGTATGTCTACTTATCAATAAACTTTGATTTGTTTATTTGCTTGAACAGATGCACAGTCCAGCATGCGACTTTTGCTCCATACCATGTGTCCATGGTATGGCATTAAACTTCTCATGCATTTATTAAATTTGTTTTATTGCTCAATACTACCTTAAAAAGATGCTATGAGTGGCCTCGCATGTACACAGATCTGACCTGTCAATTGGCCTGTTTTTTGTCCAAGGTGATTGCTTAATAGGCTGATTCATCAGCCGGTTTTACTTCGTTTTACTTCGTTTCACTTCGTACAAACTGTCTGACCTCACAGCCTTAGATTTCGTTCGCTCGACAGTAGGCAGGTACTTTTTTTCATTTAACCAATTGCTGCTATTTGGTCGTGACATATGTAATGCACCGCTAACGGGGCTAACTGGTATATTAAGCTTTTCCCAAATCCTGTAGGAAGAAGGACAATAACGTCTTTCCCCTTGATAAAATTCACCAAACATTCTCTTTATTCCGGCTTTAAATCTTCGATCTCGGGAATCCTTCACAACACTTGATAATAATACATGACTCTTCGCTGATTGGCTGGTGCCCGAACTTGCACTTCCGGGGTTTTTGCGAACCATCTATTGTATTTTGATTCCTGACCTAGTTGCTGGAGAGAAATGAAATTGAGTGGAGGCACTAAGAGGCGCCAGCCTGGCTAATTGCTTCATGCCATACTGTTGAACATTCTCAGGGACATTTTCCATGGAGAAAAGCAGCCAGTGGACCCTGCACATGAAAAGCTACACAGTGCCCCCTTAAAATGTAACCCCCGATTCTGACATTTACAACACTTAACAAAGTATTCCTAACGCTATGTAAACTTTAGATAAAAATACCTTTCAAAACCCTTGAGTTTTCAGTTTTAATGCTACAGTAATAACATTACTCCTAATAGTTCTCCTTCCTTGCTGTTGCTGCCCTGATAGGAGCTTATCCTCCCTGGAGTAGAGGCCCTGTTCCTCAGGTGGAGCTCATCTGGGAAGTGTTAAAAATACACCACACAGTAAACACGTCCCAGCCAACAAAGCCCTCTGCAACACCACAACACACTTTCAATCATTGTTCTCTCACTTTCTGAAGACACCAAAGCCCAGATCCAGAGCTGGTCTCCATCTCCTGGTCTTTAGGCCTGGTCTCTATGTGTGGAGGGGCCACATGCAGCTCGAGGACAGATCTGGTACGATCCAATCTGTGTCTAATCCCGGATTGAACTGATGGGAACCCAATGAGGAGGCTTTGTGTCCAGCATTTCTCTCCTGCAGTAATCTATAACACTTGCTGCATGTGAAAGGTTTCAGAGCTACTATCACCAAATGGAAAGAATCAGCTTTCTGAGCACCACCAGATCTAAATCAGGTCTATTACACAGGCTATTCCAGGCCTAATCTATGACTAATCTAGACTGCATCATTTCCACTGTATTCTAAACAAGAAATTATCCAAAAGGTGGACATAAAATCTGATCAAATGTACTCTAAATGAGGGAAACTCACAAAATGAAGAGCTGTAGTACCACCTGCAGGACCTTGCATACCACAGTTTGAGAAACAGCGGTTTATAGTGTCTATAGTTTCTATAGTGTACACAAAAGTGTCAAACACATGAGAAACTTCAACAGCTCATGACAGATGTACAATAACAGGCATGTAAAAATATCAGAGTGCTGCATTACTATAAAGCTGGGGACAGTTTAAAACGTCCCATGTACAGTACAGAAAAGTGACGGGCTGAAGCACTATAGAAAGGTGTGACCAAAAATAAATGGGATTCATTTCCTCAAAGAAATAATAACTATAATGTATGTAGATTTTATTCTGTTTTGTTATTCTAGTTAATGAATACCTAACCCAACTTCAAATAACCACGTTTCCTAGTCATTTTGAGCCAGAGTCGTCCCAGATTGTTAAATGTGTAAAACTCAGGTCAGAACGACACAGATCAGTCTGGAATAAGTCAGGTCATGAAATAGGTAGAGCAGCCATAAACTGCTCCATTACTTCAAAACAACATTCATAAGTTACTAAATACAGTTCTAGTTCAGGGACTAAATTAAATAAGTAAATATCTAGACATAATAATCAGAGTGTGGAACTTCCACTCAAATATGCCATCTGCATGATTCAATGGAAGCAGAAAGTTAAAATTCTACTCTGGAACATTCTCCATGTAGAATGCCATACTGGAGATTATGGCCAAAGGAACAACATTTCCA